CTTCAGAAGTTCCTTTATTCTACAGGGTTGTTTAGAATATCCTGAGTTATTTGTTTTTTCCATATGAAGTTGATTATTTTTCTTTCAAAGTCTGTGAAGGATTGTGTTGAGATTTTGATAGGTATTGAATTGAATCAGTAGATTGCTTTTGGTAGGGTTGCCATTTTTCTTGTGTTGATCCTTTGTATTCAGGATCATGGGAGGTCTTTCCTTTTTTGATATCTTCTTCAATTGTAGAACCATATTACACAGGCCCATATTTTTACAAGGTATGGCAACCAGATTTTCAGGCCACAGTTTTACACCTGCCACACAGAAGGTGGTCACCTAGTCTTTCCAGACAAACTGATGCCATCCTAAACAAGGATGTAACTTTTCCCCTTTGTAATTGTGGGGAAGAGGTGTTAATTCAGTCTATGTGACAGAGCAGCCAATTGTGGAAGTGACCTAAGTCCTGCTGCTCCACAAGAATGCTAATGAACGGGGGCTGGAGAGATGGCTCAGTGGTTAAGAGCATTGCCTGCTCTTCCAAAGGTCCTGAGTTCAATTCCCAGCAACCACATGGTGGCTCACAACCATCTGTAAAGAGGTCTGGCGCCCTCTTCTGGCCTTCAGGCATACAGACAGAATATTGTATACATAATAAATAAATAAATAAATAAATAAATATTAAAAAAAAAAAAAAAAAAAAAAAAGAATGCTAATGAACTTCCCCCTCAGTTTGACTTTTGATATAAAAGCTGTTTGGATAATAAATGTGGGCAATTTTCAGGATTTGAATGAACCCTGAGATTCTTTCCTGTTAATTTTGTGTGAACGGTGCCTCAATTATTCCCATGCCTCTACACTGGTCTAGGAGATAATTTATGTTGAGCCTGGACCCCAATATTCAATTTCTTTCTTCAAAGACTTGAAGTTCTTGTTGAATAAGTCCTTCCCTTGTTCAGTTAGTATTACCCCAAGATATTTTATGGTTTTTTTTTTTGTGGCTATTGTGAATAGTGATGTTTCTTTGATTTCTTTCTCAGTTTATTTATCATTTTGTAGGGCTACTGACTTTTTTGAGTTGATTGATGTGGCATAATCGACCAGCAAATAGGATTAATCAGGCTAACTTTGATATCAGCTTTAAAAGGGAAAGAAGGAAATAACTTACAAAACCAAGGTTCCAATGAAGAGCAGGAAAATGGAAGGGAAGGTGGGGAGCATACCCGCAATATTTATAAGTAAATAATAACCTCAGGGGATCCCACCCTTCAAGCAAGGTGATTGGCTGGGCTTCCCCTACAGTTGATCTTGTATTATGCCATATTTACTGAAAGTATTTATCAGCTGTAAGAGTTCCCTGCTAGAATTCTTGGGGGACATTTATGTGTTTTAATACTGTCATATCATCTGTGAATAAGTTTGACTTCTTTTCCAATTTATATCTTCTTGATCTCCTTGTGTTCTCTCATTGCTATAGCCAGAGCTTCAAGAACTATGTTGAAGAGCAATGGAGAGAGTGGACAGCCTTGTCTTGTTCCTGATTTTAGTGAAATCGCTTTGGATTTTTTCTCCACTTAATTTTATGTTGGCTGTCGGCTTGTTGTGTATTGCTTTTATTATGTTTAGATATGTTCCTTGTATTCCTGATCTTTCCAAGATCTTTTTCATATAGTGGTGTTGGATTTTGTTAAATGCTTTTTCAGAGATGATCATATGGTCTTTTTCTTTTCTTTTATTTATAGAGTGGATTACATTGATAGATTTTTGTATATTTAACAATCTCTGCATCTCTGAGATGCAGTCAACTTGATTATGGTGGATGATTTTTTGATGTGTTCTTAGATTCAGTTTGTCAGTAATTTATTGAGTATTTTTGCATCAATGTTCATGAAAGGGATTGGTTTGTAATTCTCTATCTTGGTTGAAACTTAATATGGTTTTGTACACAGGGCAAATGTAGCCTCATTCAAACGAGTTAGGCAATGTTCCTTCTGTTTTTATTATGTGGAACACTTTGAGGAATATAGGTATTAGCATTTTTTGGAAGTTGTGATAGAATTCTGCACTCAAATCATCTGGTGTTGGGTTTTTTATTTTTTAGATAGAATGTTTTTGATGACAGCTTCTATTTCCTTGCTATTTATAGGTCTATTTAAATTTTTCACCTGGTCTTGATTTAATTTTGGTATATGGTATCTATCCAGAAAACTGTCCATTTCTTTTGTATTTCCAATTTTGTAGAGTTCAGGTTTTTGTAGTATAACCTAATGATTCTCTGAATTTCCTCAGTGTCTGTTGTCATGTCCCACTTTTCATATCTGATTTTGCTAATTTGGATATTCTTTCTCTGCTTCTTGATTAGTTTAGATAAGGGTTTGGCTATCTTGTTGATTTTCTCAAAGAACCAGCTCTATATCTCATTAATTCTTTATATTTTTTTTGTTTCTGTATTGCTGATTTCATCTTTCAATTTTTTTATTTTCTGTCTTCTACTCCTACTGGGCGGGTCTACTACTTTTTGTCTAGAGCTTTCATGTGTACTGTTAAGTCACTGATGTGAGCTTTATCCACTTTTTTTATGTGAGTACTTAGTGCTATGAACTTTCTTCTTAGCCCTGCTTTCATAATGTCCCAAGGTTGGGTATGTTGTGTCTTCATTTTTGTTAAATTCTAGGAAGTATTTTATTTTTTTTCTTTATTTCTTTCTTGACCCAGGAGTGGTTCAATAGTTCACTGTTCAATTTCTATGAGTTTGTAGACTTTCTGAGAGTAGTATTGTTGTTAAAATTTGCTGCCTTTGTGTTTGTGGGTACAGTTACCTTCCTTGCTTTGGGGTTTTCTTTAAGTACTTTCTGTAGTGCTGGAATTTTGAATATATATTGTTTAAATGTATTTTTTTTTATCATGGAATATCTTGTTTTCTCCATTGATAATGGTTGAAAGCTTTGCTGGGTATAGTAGTCTGGGCTTACCTTTATGGTCTTTAATGTCTTCAGCACATCTGCCCAAGACCTTTTGGTATTCATGGTTTCCATTGAGAAGTCTGGTTTAATTCATATAGGTTTACCTTTATATGTTACTTGACTTTTCCTTTATAGCTCTTAATATTCTTTCTTTATTTTGTATGTTTTGCATTTTGATTATTATATGGCAAGGCTATGCCTTTTTGATCCAGTCTATTTGGGGTTCTGTAAGCTTCTTGTCCATTCACAGGATTATCCTTCTTCAGGTTGGGAACATTTTATTTTATGATTTTGTTGAATATATTTTCTGTGCCTTTGAGCTGGAATTCTCCTTCTTCTATCCCTATTATCCTTAGGCTTGGTCTTTTCATGGTGTTCCAGATTTCCTGGATGTTTTATGTTGAGAATTGGTTAGACTTAATGTTTTCTTTGACCAATGAATCTATTTCCTCTTTAGTATCTTCAACCCCTGAGATTCTTCTATTTCTTGTATTCTTTTTTTATACTTGCCTTTACAGTTCCTGTTTGTTTTCCATATCCAGAGTTCTCTCAGTTTCTGTTTTCTTTATTACCTCTATTTCAGTCATCAAATATTGAACTCTTTGCTTCACCTGTTTGATTGTGTACCTGAGAGATATCTGTAAAGAAATTAGTCAAGCATGCTGCACATGAATATAATCCTAGTACAGGCAAGAATATCCATGTACACCGAGTCTAGCCTGATCTACATGTTGAGTTCTGGGCCAGTCTGTATTATATAGAGTATATTTGCCTTATTTTAATGGGAGCTCACCAAGGCCAGCTGGACTGGGACTGATGGAGCATGTGATCAAACCAGACTCTCTGAACGTGACTGATAATGAGGGCTGAATGAGAAGCCAAGGACAATGGCACTGGGTTTTAATTATACTGCATGTACTAACTTGTGGGAGCCTAGTCTGTTTGGATGCTCACCTTCCTAGACTTGGATGGAGGGGGGAGGGCCTTGGACTTCCCACAGGGCAGTGAACCCTGACTGCTCTTTGGACTGGAGAGGGAGGGGGAGAGGGAGTGGGGGGAGAAGGAGGGAAATGGGAGGAGGAAAGGAGGTGGAAACTTTTAATTAAAAAAAAGAAAAGAAAAAAAACCCAAATTAGCTGTAAACCTTATTAAGTGCCGTTTGTTGACATAAAATTTAATTTTTGGTAAATTTATTGAGAATAGAATTTGAAAATCAAACTGAAGAAAAGTGTATTAATGCTAAGGTAATATAAGAACTGTTAACATTCTCTGGCCACTTTAACCTTCAATTAGAGAGTTTTCTGGCAGATCCAGTAAAAGATATTTGGATTGATCAAGCTTTGACAGGATCAAGTTTATCTTGAGATTGTTTCCATTAAATATTTAATTCAGTTATTAGTTAGACTCGATTTGCATTTCTTATGTTAGGTAAAATATAAAGAGTTTCATAGGTAATCTTGCAGCTATAAGGGAGTAGCCTTTCAGACATACAAGCTCTGGAGTTGCTAATTTCTTGTAGGCACTGAGTAGATCTAGCCCTGGTGATCCAAACTGTACTTGAAATAATGAAGGCACACTCCGTAGAGTTATTTATTTTATTCTTATAAAAGGAAACATGCAAGTAATAAAAATATGAAATAATCTAGATTATATGCATGGGTTCTGTGTCCATATTATTGTTATGAAATCCTTTGAGGGTGACCAGCTTGGCAAACTTTGCCAATTTTGTTGACATTTCTTTAACCCCATTTTCTCATCTGTATATCTAGCATTGTGATAATCTGCATGAAATTTCAGAATAATGTGCTTAACTTTCTTACTCATTTCCACACATTAAATAAGATGGTTTAAAAAATAAAGCATCATTAAAATTTCATGAAATTTATACAGCATAATCCATATAGCTTGTTTTTCAGAGTACATATTTATACACATAGGATACATAAATGGTGGTTGGCATGTATTAATCTCTCCATGATTGTTATTCAGCATTGTATAATGCTTAACACACAAAACGAATTCTATGCTTTTACATGTAGGTGAATAATTATGGACAATACAAATGAATATTTGCTTAGCTATAAAGGATATAATTTTTTGAAAAAATTAGTGAACATTGAGCAGTTAGAAAAGCTGGAAGATTTTGAAATTAGAGATGATGATGTTTTCATAGTCACATATCCAAAATCTGGTGAGTGTAAGAAGTGGGACATGTATCATTAATGTTTTCTTTGATTTAATATTATGTGTGCACATATAACTCCCATCAACACACCACAAGCAGCAAGCATATATTAATGTAACAATTTATGATCATATAATTCTACATAAATCTCCAATCTGTAGAACAGAAGAAAACCTCCAGTGCATATACTGGACACTCTATTGTCAAGTACAAATGTTATGATAAAATGTGTAACATATTGCTATCAGAGGACACTCTGTCAGTGCTGAATTGCTTGGTCTGTTGAACAAAGATGACACAGTCTCAAATATCATTTTCCTAATACAAATACTTCATAATTTCCAATAGATTTTCTAATACATACCATTTACTTTAAAATATTTAATGGAAATTGAAGTTTACTTAATACAGTTTAAGAAGCATGCACACACATGTGTGTGCATTCACACACACACACAAATTTTCTTGAGGTATGAAGTCCATCAGTACTGAGCAGTGCTGCAGCAGCGATGTCCTTCTGGGAACAGAAAAATCCTGTTATAATCGTGGCATCTGAATCACCAGGGGCAATATTTGGAGGTGCTGTTACTATAGTTGGCACAATTTGAGAGATAAATCTGTACCCCTTAAAATTTCACATGTCCTTTTAAAAATGAGTTCATGTTTGGCTATTGCCAAACACCACAGATAATGGGATTGTACATGGTTTGACCAGAAAAACCATTTCAAACTGAGGAGATACCTCAGTGTACAAAGTGCATGTTTTGGCCTTGCAAGCATGAAGACCTGAGGTGAGATCACTTAAACACTTGTATGCTGGATGTAGTAATGGGTGTCTGTAATCTTGATTTCCCTGTGGTGAGGTGTAGTCAGAGACAGGAGCATCTGCAGATGCTCATGACTCAGCTGTACCTCATAGAGAATAAATGTATCTCAACCAGGATTCAAGGCAATTGTAGTCTGACAACTACACATACACTGGACTGCACTAACATATAAGCATGTACATGTACAAATCTCTCACTCATACATACATGTACAGCACACACACATGCATAGTACATACACATGCATAGCACACAAATGTGCACACCAGACATATACACATGCATGCCACACACATTCATGTACACCATATCAAAAGGAAATGATCCATAAGGCTACAAAGAGGCAAAAAAGGTTAGTATCAGGTAAATGCTAGTGATTGTAATATGAGTTTAGTGTATTGTGTACATGTGTTGTATAATATAGTGTACCCTTTAATATCTAAAAATAATATCTGTCAAGGAAAAGTTAAAAATACATCAGGAAACATTTCCCATAGACTATAGAATACAGAGACTTGGAATAATTTCATCTATCATTATTTTTTTTTATATTTATTTATTTATTATGTATACAATATTCTGTCTGTGTGTATGAAGAAGAGGGCACCAGACCCCGTTACAGATGGTTTTGAGCCACCATGTGGTTGCTGGGAATTGAACTCAGGACCTTTGGAAGAGCAGGCAATGCTCTTAACCTCTGAGCCATCTCTCCAGCCCCCTCATCTATCATTATTAAAAAATCTAAACAAAATAATTATCCAACTGAAAAGGGACTCAGTAAAAATCAATAAAACTGATTTTATGTTTTCTAATTTTATTGCTAAGTAAAAATCAAACAAAACATATACTGGTTCATTACCATACATGGAATATTATTTAAAAGCACCAATGGCATGAAGATGGATGGTATTAGAGTAGATATTTATTACTTAAACTTACCTCAGGATTGAAAAAAAGAATGTTATTCATTTTTTACAGGTACCGTTTGGCTGTATCAGATACTTAGGTTGATTTGCTATGAGGGCCACTGGAACAGGACTGGAGACATCAAAACTATCATCAAAACACCGTTCTTTGAGTACATGTTTTATCATTTAGACATCATTAAAATGCCATCACCTTGCATCTTCACGTCCCATCTTCCATATTACTTAGTACCACAATATCTCAGGAAGAAAAAGGCTAAAGTATCTCACAGGGCTTAGTCATGTTCTATACAGATAAAATACTTAAATAATAAAAGTATTTTAGTATTTGTGTTATGATGTACATCTACCTTATTATTCTCGAGTATGTCTTCTGGGTACGCTTCGACAAACTTTCCTAGAACCCTCATCTGTGAATAGAACTGCAGAGCCACAGTGACCGAGGTAGTCAGCTTACAGAGGAGGTGGATTATTTCTGAAGAAAGTGGATAATCAGTTATTGCTGAAACCTATTCTTGTTTTTCCTCTAGTAATTTGACACATCAGACTTAAATGTTTGCCATTGTGCCAGTTATTGAATGGTGGCACATACTGGTCTTAATTTTCATATGTCTGCCCAATATCGATATTAAATATGTTTGATGTTTATTGACATAATCAATTTTGATTCTGTGAAAGGGCTCTACCATCAGTTGAGCTTCATAACATTTTAATTTGAGTATAACTTTTCTATTGATTTGATTTCTGTCAGTTCTGGATACTAGTGTATTTATCCTTATGATATTTCTCTTCTTTTAGAACTTCATATAATGTTGTAGTTTACTTTTATTACTCACATTCTTAATTTTAGTATTATCAAATATACTGATTTTTTAAAATTTAAATTATATAAATTATTTTAATTATATTTATTGCTTCAAATTTTTTTATTTTAAATATATTTTTCACCCCAAGTCTTTTCAGATCCTCTCCCAATACCTACTCACTCAAATTTATGTTCTTTTTAAGGTCAAACAGTAACATATCACAACAACAAAATCTTATTTATGATATATTCCCTGTCTTCAAGACTAACAATGCATTTACTTTGGCCTAATATTCTCAAAACACTAGTTAGTTATTATTCATAATAGTATGAGAGAATTTTCTTTAAATTCCATGTGGATACTGTTGACACTTGGACCAACAAAGGCTTCAATCTTTTATGTACTACATATTTCATTGCTGCCTTGTCTATATATGAATTATCTCAAAAAATATCTATCAATATAATTTGCAGTAGCAGGGAAAGTTTGTTTACTCTATTCATCAACTTTACAAAAAATGTAATTTCTAGAAAGTTGATCTGTGTTCTTGTGCATGTGTGCAATATGAAGTAAGTAAAAATTTTCACTCAAATATCATGGAACAAGATGTTAATAAACAACTACACTTCTATAGCTATAACATGGATAAGAATAAAGCTTCATGTGGATAATGAACTATCATATAATTATTCAGATCTTATCAGAATAAGCAAGGATTTCTAAAGCAATCTTGCTTTTTGTTTCTGCAGATTTTTTATATTTACAGAAATCCCAAGGACATTCTGGTCTCATATTTTTATTTTTTTAATTGGTTGGTTGTCTTTGAAGGTACAGATACTTTGGAACATTGTCTGGAAAAATTTCTAGAAGGAAAAGGTAATTACATTTATTCCCTCTCACTTGTTTATAAAGTACAGGTGATATTTAATTTGTCTCAAAGTGAGGAACATATATCCAAGAGATGAATGGCGGTAGGACAAGTATAAAGAGCAATAATAATCTCAGCCAAGTTAACTTAATACACAGTGGTTATTCTGTCATTTGTCATTTTCAGAAACATTTGAGGATTTTCAACTAGCAATGCTATACTATTGTGGAAGTACTTTGGCCAGACAATAAAAGATTTACAAATATTTTATCCATTCTTTCTAGTCAATGTCATAGGAAGAATCATATAGCTAAAATTGAGGGCGAATGTGTGCTCTGCATGGCATATACTTGTAGGGAAATAATGGGATCCTTCATTCCAGCACTGTGGAGAAATGATGCAAGAGGCTGTGAGGTGTGGAAACGGGATCTCATGCATTTCTCAGGTTGTATTCAGGTTCTGTTTCACTGGAATAAGGAAACACTGCTATCCCAGAGATCTGATAGGAGGGGTGAAATGGAGACATATACCTTCTGGTAGAGGAGAAATGGGGACTTCCCTTAAAGATAACTTTAAATTCAGACACTTAAACTTCTTTATCAAAAGACTTCATATTGATTCATTTTGTTTTATGATTGTTTTGCCTGCATGTGTGTATGTGCTTAATCTATGTATCCAGTGATATCAGAAGTCAGTAGAGGGCATCAGATTATCTGGAACTGAAGTTAAACATGTGTTGTGATCCACCCTGTATGTACAGAGAACCACACTCAGCTCCTCAACAAGAGCAGCCAGTGCTTTGACCACTAGCCAAGAGTGTATCCAATCTCTGGCCCTCAAAATTCTTAATGTTTGTTTTGTTGTGTCCCTAAACAGTTAGGTAGCTATGAAGTTTGTGTTAAACTCAAATGTAGTTTGTTGTTTAGTAAGTACTGTGCCTTGCCTTTATTGCTCAGTTATTTTCCCTTCAGTGGTAGGAAGCAGTTGGTTTGATGACATTAGAGGCTGGTATGAACACAGACATGATTTCAGTATAATGTTCCTGAGCTATGAAAATATGAAGAAGGTAAGATGAGGTAGTTGTTTTGAAAATTATTTATTATTTCTGAGTTTAAACCTCAGACTCTCAGCTGTTTTCACACTACACCCTTTTTTGGGTTTTGTGCTGATGGAGGTTCCTCACTTCCTCCCTGTCCTTTACTGACTAGTCTGCCTTAGGACTCACTTTTTCCTGTCATCCTCTCTTGTTATTCCTTCTTCTATAGCCACCTGTGTCAATACAGACCACCTAATGCACACAGTAGATTTGGCTTTTTAATTAATTATTTGTATTAGTAGTTTCAGTGTGGTATTGACATCTCTCAACATGGTATGCATTGGTCTTAGCTCTTACTCTCTTACACTCCCCCTTTCTTTGCTCAAGACTATTCCCAATTCTGTAGTTCAACTTCCAGAATGGCGGATGTCTTTTGTTTTGTTTTTCTATTGGGGGAGAGATGTGATACAGTGTGGTTGGTCTTTTTTGAGCCACCAGCTCCCAAATAATGATATGTAGATTTCTTATTTTGAAAGCTTGGCATGAGTTTTGGTTTGTTCTCAAATAATTCTTATAACTTAAATTAACCTGTTCATATTAGTCTGCATTCTTCCATGTGGCTCATTACCTCGTCTCCCTATTGTAGGCCAAACTTACTCAGTTTTGCTGGTGAATCTCTACCTATTTGATGCTTCCCCTGAGTTCCTCAGTCTCTCCAAAAGTCTAACCTATCCTCTACTGTCTATTCTTTGGCCATTAAGCCCCCCCCCCCTTTTTTTTAGACCAATAAGAAGATTCCTTAGAGAGGTCAGGGAGGATAAAGACACATCTTTCCACATATAGTCTACATAACTAAGCTGTTGTGAGGTTTCTGCAGCCAACAAGATTTATCATGTATCATCCAGGCTAAGAACTCATCCATGTAGAGGGATCAGTGCATATGCACATTCAATGATTTATTAAACTAATTAGAAGGTGCCTCAAGCAGACAAGGAAGTAGAGCTACACATCTTCTCAGAGTGTGATAAAATATCCTCCAGCAATATCTTTTTTCTTTGTATTGGCAGATTTCACTTAATCTGATATTTTAAGGTGCATCTATTTCCAGCAAACCATTTTTATTCTTATTAGTGTCTAAATAATATTTTTTGTTTACATGAGATTCAGTTTTATTCATATATATATATATATATATATATATATATATATATATATATATATGTTACTCAGTCTTGCTGGTGAATCTCTACCTATTTGATGCTTTCCCTGAGTTTCCCAGTCTCTCCAAAAGTCTAACCTATCTTTTTGGCTATTCTTTTGCCATTAAGCTCCCCCCTTTTTAGACCAATAAGAAGATTCTTTAGAGAGGTCAGGGAGGATACTATATATATATGGGTATCTAGGCCCATTCAATGCCTTGACTCGGGAGAAGAATTCAAGAACTGTGGTTGCCTGTAGGATTTGTAATTCTGACTTTATTTTCATTAGAAATATAACTAGGAATGGGGTCACTAAATTATATGATGGGCCTATTTTTTATTATGCCAGATCCATTTTTCCATACTGAATGCACTTTATGCACTTTCTATCTAATCTGGCACACATTGTTTTGAGTATCTTATTTTGGTTGCTGGTTTGTTTATATGCTGGTAACTAAAACCAGACCCACATGGTAGATATTAGGATAGTTACACTCACTTGTTTCTTAGGTCCATATTATTGGAAAACCTTTTCTCAACCCTTTACTCTGAGGTAATGTCTGTCTTTGAGGTTGAGGTGTATTTCTTGTATACAACAGAAGACTGGATCCTGTTTTTGTATCCATTCTCTTAGCCTGTTTTTTTTATAGGTTAACTGAGTCCATTGATATTAAGAGATATTAGTGACCAGTGCTTGTTAATTTCTGTTATTTTTTTGGTAGTAGTGTTTGTGTGTTTCCCTTCTTTGGGTTATACTGGTGGGAGGTTATCTGCTGCCTTTGTGTTTGTGGGTACAGTTACCTTCCTTGCTTTGGGGTTTTCTTTAAGTACTTTCTGTAGTGCTGGAATTTTGAATATATATTGTTTAAATGTATTTTTTTGTCATGGAATATCTTGTTTTCTCCATTGATAATGGTTGAAAGCTTTGCTGGGTATAGTAGTCTGGGCTTACCTTTATGGTCTTTAATGTCTTCAGCACATCTGCCCAAGACCTTTTGGTATTCATGGTTTCCATTGAGAAGTCTGGTTTAATTCATATAGGTTTACCTTTATATGTTACTTGACTTTTCCTTTATAGCTCTTAATATTCTTTCTTTATTTTGTATGTTTTGCATTTTGATTATTATATGGCAAGGCTATGCCTTTTTGATCCAGTCTATTTGGGGTTCTGTAAGCTTCTTGTCCATTCACAGGATTATCCTTCTTCAGGTTGGGAACATTTTATTTTATGATTTTGTTGAATATATTTTCTGTGCCTTTGAGCTGGAATTCTCCTTCTTCTATCCCTATTATCCTTAGGCTTGGTCTTTTCATGGTGTTCCAGATTTCCTGGATGTTTTATGTTGAGAATTGGTTAGACTTAATGTTTTCTTTGACCAATGAATCTATTTCCTCTTTAGTATCTTCAACCCCTGAGATTCTTCTATTCCTTGTATTCTTTTTTTTATACTTGCCTTTAACAGTTCCTGTTTGTTTTCCATATCCAGAGTTCTCTCAGTTTCTGTTTTCTTTATTACCTCTATTTCAGTCATCAAATATTGAACTCTTTGCTTCACCTGTTTGATTGTTTTTTTCTTGATTTTCTTGTATTTCTTTGAGGGATTTATTACATTCTTCCATTTTTTGTTTGTCTTTTCCTCCATTTCTTTAAGGGAATTTTTCATTTCATTTTTAAAGGTCTCCATCATCTTTATAAAGTTATGTTTCACATCATTTTCTTCTGTTTTTTTTCTGGGTTAGGATGATCAAGTCTTCCTGTTGTGTGAGTGTAACCTCTGCATTACTCTCGGTACAGTTCATATACCACTGTACCATTTGTGAGTTTGACAAGGGCCTGCAGCTTGAAAGAACACACAAGACACCTGGGTCTTTTGGAAAGAGATCATCCAAATGTTGTTTATTTAAGCTTATGAAAAACCTTATATACCTAGCTACTCTACAATGGAATTCTTTCCCAGGTAGGTGGGAAGTTATCATGGCCAAGGTGGAGTAAACAATGCTTTATAGCTAATCACCAGGGAGGGCAGAGGAAGCTCAGGAAAACCAGAAAATGCAACAAAATGTCTGGCCAGAAACTGTCCTCAAGATGAGCCCCAAGAGCAGGGGTACACCCATGGGCCCTACAAGTCCCCTTTTATATAAATTATAAGGCTAGGCATGTCTTAGTTGGCATTGGACATCAGGGGTCACAATCAATCTGCACTGCCACGTCAGCATACTGTACTGTACCATTTAACATGTCAGTGTTTGGTGGGGGAAACCCGCAGTGGCATTGCACAGTGTGGTATTTGTAAATAGGAAGGTGAACTCAAAGAAAAACACGTAGTTATCCTTCTGGATATTGGAAGTAGACAAGATTTCCAGGCAAAAATTGAGAGCTTGGGGGTGGGGGTGGGATGGGAGTAAGAGGAGATGGCGAGAGAGAAGTGAGAAGGGGAGAATGGGGAGAGCTTGTGGGAATGGGACAGTTGAGGTGGAGGAAGAGTGGATATGGGAGCAGGAAATTGTATATCTTAATTAAGGGAGCCATTTTAGGGTTGGCAAGAGACTGGACTCTAAAGAGGTTCCCAGGTGTCCAAGGAGATGTCCCCAGCTCGTTCCTTGAACAGCTGAGGAGAGGGCCCTATTCTATAGCCACACTGATGAATATCTTGCATATCACCATAGAACCTTCATCTGGCGATGGATGGAGATAGAGACAGAGACCAACATTAAAGCACTGGACTGAGCTCCCAAGTCCAAAATAGCTATTCTTTATTCCAGGTAGTATACTTCAGCTTCAGTCTATAGAGACACCTGCCTCATGCACATCTGTGGTGGAGTGTAGGGAGCCTGAAATCCAGGGAATGAGGTCCTGGATAAATCTGGGGAAGAGTAGTCAGAGATGGATATGGCAGACGCTTGAATGGGCATACATTGTAGTTAAAGACAAAAGAGAAGTGTCACTGAGAAGGGGAGTTCTTTGACTCAATATCAAGAAAAAGAGAGATAGAGATAGATAGATAGATAGATACAAAAATGAAAGAAACAAAGAAAGAAAAAAAAGAGTCTCTGTAGCCGAAAAGACCACAAATTACAGGCCAAAATAGTAGCAGTGGAAATTACAGAAGTATGTTAGAAGAGCCAACAGATTGAGATTTTAGGTTCCTTTTTTTTTATTTTTTTTTATTTTTTTATTTTTTCCTTTTTTATTGAGAAAAGGAGAAAAAAAACAAGTTTCCACCTCCTCCCAGCCTCCCATTTCCCTCCCCCTCCTCTCACCCTACGCCCCCTCCTCCCACCCTTCTCCCCCTCCCCCCCACTCCTTTCCCCCTCCCTCTCCAGTCCAAAGAGCAGTCAGGGTTTTCTGCCCTGTGGTAAGACCTAGGACCTCCCACCTCCGTCCATATCTAGGAAGGTGAACATCCAAACTGGCTAGGCTCCCACAAAGCCATCACATTACATAGGATCAAACCCCCGTGCCAGTGTCCTTTGCGTCTCATCAGTCCTCATTGCTCGCCATGTTCAGAGAGTCCAGTTTTATTCCATGCTTTTTCAGTCACAGTCCAGCTGGTCTTGGTGAGCTCTCAATAGATCAGCTCCACTGTCTCAGTGGGTGGGTGCATCCCTCGTGGTCCCGACTTCTTTGCTCATGTTCTCCCTCCTTCTGCTCCTCATTGGGACCTTGGGAGCTCAATCCAGTGCTCCTGTGTGGGTCTCTGTCTCTATCTCCATCCATCACCAGATGAAGGTTCTATGATGATATGCAAGGTATTCGTCAGTATTGCTCTAGGATAGGGTCATTTCAGGTTCCCTATCCTCAACTGCCCAAGGAACTAACTGGGGACCTCAGCTTGGGCACCTGGGAGCCCCTCTAGGGTCAGGTCTCTTGCCAACCCTAAAGTGGCTCCCTTAACTAAGAATTGTGGTTCCGTGCTCCCCTGTCCAACCTTCCTTTATCCCAATCCTCCTGTTTTCCCAAGGCCCGACCTCCTTCCCTTCTAACTTTTCTCTCCCCATCTCCCCTTACCCCCATCCCACCCCACCCCCAAGATCCCAATTTTCTCCCTGGCAATTT